AGCAAATGAGCCTCTTCCACAGAAAGACTGAGGGTGTGTTTCAGGCTGCTGTCTGGGCAGAGCCCTGGGGTGGGGGGGGGGGGGGGGTGCACAGCCTGCCAAGAACTAGCTCTTTGATAGTTCCAGGCCTGTGGCAGAGGCAGCGTGTAGAGATGGCACCCAACCAGGAAAGAAAAACCAAAGAAGGAGAAGTCTAGGATTAAAAACAAACACCGCAACACAAAGAAGATGGCGCGGGAACCCTGCCGACGCAAGACAGGAGCAGAGCGAAAGAGGGCGCCTGCCAGGCTCCCACCCAGGAGAGCATCCCCGTAGGCCCCACATGTGTGTCAGACAGGATGCCTGCCCCTCAGGACGAAGCTCCAGGACACGCAAGGGGGCTCCCCCACACGAAATCCTGGCGCCCCTGAACCAGGGTTTCTGCCCTGGGCCCTGGGGCGGCTAAGTCGGAGCGAGCCCTTTAAGAGCTGCTTCTCAGGTCATCACAGCCTTGCGGGAGCTCGTGGGTGCGACCCCCTTTGGTTTTCAATGCTAAATGTTTCGGGGGGACTTGTCTGTGAGGTGCAGGTCTTTAAAGGAGGGGTGCCTTGCTAGGGGGTTCAAAACCCCCAACTCCTCAGGGAGAAGGCCTGCCTTTTGAGTTCCCTCCGCAAGGTCGGTCCTCCCACCTAGGGTGGGGGTCCTGCCAAGACTGTGTCCCAGCCTCTCTTACCTGACAAGTAGGAGTCTCTCAGCCAATGTTTCTGGGGTTTTTGTTTTTTGTTTTTTGTTTTCAGAGAAAGTTGTTCCCCACGTAGCTGTAGATTCAGTGCGTTTGCGGGAGGAGGTGAGTTCAGGATCCTCTGAGGTCTCCATCTTGAACCGGAACCTGGTTCCTTTCTCCCTTTGGCAGTTTTATATTAGAAAGACCTTATTAGCTTAAGGATAATCCCGCGCTTTTTAAAATTCATTGTTCATTTTTGAAAGGCTCCCCTCCAGAATTACAAAAAGAGCTCAACATTCTTAACTGGTAATTACCAATGACGCCTATAAATTCTATGTTCAAAGAAATCACAGTTAATAAAAGGGTAAATATGATGCCAGCTAATGTTTATACTTATGCAGGTATCTAAAAAAATAAAGAGTCGGCGCTTTATAGTTGTAGGAATATTGATAAAAATATATTACCATTTTCTTCTCTTAAGCAGAACCTTGTATAGAAGATCCAGTCCCTACCCCCACCCCACCCCATGTAGCCAGAGACATCCACTGCATCAGAGAATATTAGGATTGTTAGACCAGGAAAATAAAGACAAAGGCAGAGTAAAACTATAGCCTAACTGGTTACCCTGAAGTCCATTCTGTATTTAGAAAAGGCAAAATAAATGCATGTTGTTCTCTTTTCTCTAAAACAGCTTCAAAATAATAAGCTCCTTCCCTTTTATTCCTCAACAGTGACCAATCAATTGAGTTGCTTTAGAATCATTAGGAACTTACAGATATAATCATATTTGATGTGTTTGAAATAATGGCAATTATTATGAATTTTGGGTGCTCAAAATGACCCATCCTTGCCTAGTGGGAACCTATTTTGATAGATTCTTCAGTCCTTTTGACACAACCCTGGTAGTGGTTGATAGCTTCCTTGCTCTCTGTAAATATTTACAGATAAAATGTCTGGGATTTGCTTTAAAATGATGGCACAGGAAAAAGAGGTAGAGATGAAACAGGATTGGCCATGGTTTGATAATTGCCCCATGGAGGTTCCTTACACTATCCTCTCACATTTGTATATGTCTGAAATTTCCAAAATAAAAAGTAAAGATTAAAAAAGTTCAGCCTGTGACTTCCAAAATAGGACCCTGAAATCCTTAGTAAGACAGTAGTCTTAAATGCCTGGTTTTGATGGGAGAAAAAGGGATTTGTCCGTTTCCAAGGCTTCTCTTGATTTATCAAGAAAAAATATAGAGATCTGAACCTAAGAGTTTTCTTCAAAATCAGAGGTAGTGAGCTTTCTGGATATGAGGACATTCCCCCAGCCCCAGGAAGGCATGAAACCCCCTCTAAGTCAGAAAGTAGGAGGAGGGTGGAGGGTGAAGAGAGTAGAAAACGGTGAGCTAAAAGCCCCAAAGGTTTTCTTCCTGGTGGGTACCTCTTGACAGTTTTGGTCTTGGTCACAGGGCTGCCTAAAAACGGCTTCTGAGGGTAACCTGTGTGTCTCATCTTCTTCCACTCTTTAGCTCAGATTCTTGCCTCTGATCCCCAAAAAGACTGACTCAATTTCTTGGGGTCCAGGAAATCTTGCTTTCCAAACAGGTCAGGAAAGAGCACTGGGCTGGGAGTCCAGAAGCCAGCATGTGAGCCCTGTGACTCAAAATGACACCGTTTTGGGTCTCAGTTTCATCACCCATTAAATGAAAGATCAGCCCGCAAGACTCAAGATCCTTCAGTGTCCCAACCTTCCAAACCCGAGATTTCAGGACTCCTGGGCCTGAACACACAGCCCTGCAGGCCTTTATGCCTTTTCACTGAACGTCTTTTCCACCATTACACATTACACAGCCTCCTAAAGAAATAGATGACGGCTGTCACTTTTTGCAGCTAATTGGGAGAGGAGGTGCCCCGCTATAGAGAAACCCCAAAGTTGGCAGCACTTTCAGGCTTTGGGAATCAGGCGCGTCACCGACCTGTATGATTTCTCCTCTCTGTCCTTGCTCGCCAGCAAATCCTGACCCCCGTCCCCACTGCGGAGAAATCTCCTAAGAGACGGCTTGCCAGCGTAGCCTCTGCGCCCAGAAGGCGTGGAGCAGAGGGCGCGGGAGCTGAGCGCGCTGCGGCCACGCTCCCCGCGCAGAGACGAGAGGGAGGGGCCGGCGGGGGCCGGGCAGCACCAAGGGCGGCGCGCGGGGCTCGCCGCGGCTCAGTCTCCTTCCGAGCCCAGCCCCGGCCGGCGAGAGCGGCGGCGAGCGCCAGCCGGAGCCGGAGACCGGGCCTCGGAGCAGGGAGGCGGAGGGCCAGAGAAAGCGGCGGACCCGAGTGGAGGGCCGCGCTCGGGCCCCCGCCGCGTGCGCGTCCTCCTGGAGGATCCCGGTAAGTGCGGGCGGCCGAGTCCCCGCCAACCTCCAGGCTTGGTGGCCGCAGTGGTCGTTGTCCCCGGATCCGGTGGCGCGCATCCCGCTGCTGCACCACAGGCTCACAGGTGGCTCCGCGGTGGACGTGGGGGCCCCAGGCCCCGCAAGGAGTTAGCGAACTCTCTCCGCTTAGGGGCGCGGTTTCCGAGCCCCCGGCTTCTTCCACCCCAACCACCCTTGCTTCCGGCTCCGAGGTGGGGGGCGCGGCGGGGCAGGGCCTGCCGTCGGGGTAAGACACGCCAGAGGAAAGCTCCCCTTCCCCAAACCACCCACAAACGATTCGGGGAGATGCGGGCCAAGCGCCTTCCCCAGCTGCGACCCCGCTTGCTCGTGGGGCGTCTGTCCTTTAGTTTTATTTTCCTATTAACCCACCAGGGAAAGTTTGGGACCACACAAGGCAAAGTTGGGGCGCGGCTGGGGGTGCACTTCTCTGGCAGAGGCAGCTCCGGTGGAGCGGAGCGGCGGGTTTGCAGGTGGAACCGGCTCGCTGGAGCTGATCCTGCACCCTGGGAGTTGAGTCTGTCCCTGCCGGTAGCCCTGGCCAGGCATTGTGACAATCCCCAGAGCCCTGTGAGTCGCTTAATCTTTGGTGCTAAGCGTCGACATCTGCAGCCAGCCGAGAATCTCTGTGATGGGTAGCAGCATCTTAGCCTGGTTTGACTTGTGTTCTTGCTCTGCTCTGCAAACCTGAGCTGCGGCTAATCCCAGTGTTTAAATGGCGTGTGTTTAATTAGCTTATTTTACACCTGGGATGATCTCAGCGAGCCTCTAAAATGAAATCGTTGATATAAAAAGCAACAACAGTGTTTATAAAGAAAAATTTAAATAGGAACCTTCAGAATAGCCGCTGTCGTGTCTAGATATCTAGTTTTACCCATCTCTGTGGGATAGAGAATGAAAACTGCTTGAATATCTAACCTACTAGAAGAGTCAGTGTTGGGGCTATTTTTGTCAGATCTTGTGGACAGAGGTATTGCTGCAGCTTGCATATTGTTTACGAAATACACGTTGAGTCTCTAGAAATAGCCTACTTGTTAGGAGTTGTTTGATTTACTATGTTGTCTGTTTTACACATGACTTAAGGTTGTTTTTAAAAATAAGCTTTAGCTGAAAACAATATCTAGATGTTTAGGGAAGACAATCCATGTCACCAGAACATTCTTTTGTAAACTTAAAATTTTAAAGGGCTATTTTTCTGCATCAGACATAGGAGAAGCTTTTCATGAAAAATAAGATGCTGAGGTCTTTATGTGTATAGGAAAAGAGTGCTATCTCCTCCGACACTCAGTGCTTTCAAATGATAGATCAGAAAAGCGTGCCTTTAACTGAATTACATAATTGGGCTGAAAGAAAATGCAGTGAGTAATTATTGGTTGTCAAGTACTTAGACAATTCTAAAAGAAGTGGTATCTTTTATCACTGGGCGGTTATTTGTTACGTGATTAAAGGTGGGATAAACTGATAGATTTTCATCTACAATTTTTTTTATATTTAACACACATCTACATAGTCTAACCAACATTGGATTTACCAAAATGTTTGAGTTTACAAGTACATGATTGTTATTAAGTGCTTAGTAGGTGCCACATTTAAGTGTCTCATCCTCAAAACAGTCCTTGGTGGCAGGTGCTGTAATTATTCTTATTTCTGAGATGGGGAAACAGAGGCACAGAGAAGTTACATAACTTACCCAAGGTCAAACACAGGATGGGACTTTATCATACCCGCCAAGTTCTTTATGTATAAAAGACATATGATTTTGTCATTTACCTCTCCTTGTTTTAATTTTCCTTTAAGCGTAAATGTCGAAAATATTTCCTGTGAAGCATAAGAACCCCTGATTGTGGAAGGGCCCCACAAGCACCGTTGACCATAAAGTGAAGAAAAGTATGAGAGAACCGTCTGGTTGAGTCTACAATCGGAAGACCACCACATCCACTATAAGACCCAGGATGGATCTGCACCAAAGCACTGCCATCCCTTTCCTTGAGAAATGGTGTTTGGAGAAGTCACTATCTGGCTTCAGGAGACATTATAATGTCAGGAAAAAACTGAAGTTAGTTAGAATCTTGGGCCTTCTCATGGGCCTAGTAGCCATTAGCACTGTCCCATTTTCAATCAGTGCCTTTTCTGAGACAGAGATACAGAGCACAGAAGAGGTTGTTGGTGCAAGTGGTCCCAGCGCAGCACACGGTCACCATCAGAGAACTCTCTTAGATTTAAATGACAAGATTCTGGATTATACTCCACAGCCACCTCTTTCTCAGGAAGGCACGTCTGAGAACACTACAGATCATGCCCAAGGAGACTACCCAAGAGACATCTTCTCCCTCGAGGAGCGAAGAAAAGGCGCCATCATTCTGCACGTCATTGGAATGATCTACATGTTCATAGCCTTAGCCATTGTCTGTGATGAATTCTTTGTCCCTTCTTTGACTGTCATCACTGAGAAATTGGGCATCTCTGATGATGTGGCCGGAGCCACCTTCATGGCTGCGGGGGGTTCGGCCCCAGAACTTTTCACATCTCTCATAGGGGTATTTATTGCTCACAGCAATGTTGGCATAGGCACGATCGTGGGCTCAGCAGTGTTCAATATCCTCTTTGTTATTGGCATGTGTGCTCTGTTTTCTAGAGAAATCTTAAACCTGACATGGTGGCCGCTCTTTCGGGATGTGTCCTTCTACATCGTTGACTTGATCATGCTGATCATATTTTTCCTGGATAATGTTATCATGTGGTGGGAAAGCTTGCTTCTCTTAACAGCTTACTTCGGCTATGTGGTTTTCATGAAATTCAACGTCCAAGTAGAAAGATGGGCGAAGCAAATGATAAATCGCAATAAAGTCGTCAAGGTGACAGCACCAGAGACCCAAGCAAAGGTTGGTGGTGGCGGTTGTTTATTTAATGTTCTGAATAATTATGTTTTTGAGATCTGCCACTTTTTTTAATGGGATGGTGTTTGGGGCTAGTGTGGATAGCAGATTGCTTTGGGGCAGTGGGAAAACAATTTGGGGCTATTCTGGTGGTTATCTCCTAGGTTCTCAAGCTCCTGGCTTCAGAGTAAAACACTGATAAATATAGGTTACATAAGTATCCCAGAGTGGACTCAACAGTTATTTACATCTGGAAGTAGGCATAATGATTTTGTGAGCCATTGAATTTTCACGGGAGAGTGTGTGTATGTGTAACTTAGCAAATTGCAGGTATTTTTTTTTTTTAAGTAGGCACATGACAATGGTCAAGAACCATCTCTTTAAAGATGTTTAAGGAAGAAAGTTTGTGTCACCAGGGCTGTACCTTTAAGTCCGCAGCAGGGTCCAGAAGGACTGGTCATTGGAATGATCATGGCCATTTTTCTTGATCCACATGATGATCTTCAGACCACTTGACCAGGAGGTGGTGGAGATCCATGAGAGGGAGTCATTGCCAAGCCCTGCTGTCTGTCTCCATGGCTTGATGACCCATTTTGCATGCCATGATAAACATCACCCAAGATAATTTTACAGTAGAATTTGAGGAAGTTTTCATGAGAAGAGTGGCCATCCTTCCACTTAGGTGGTGAGCAGATTGGTATAGGCCTGAGAATAAATTGATCTGCAAAAACGTAAACTAATTTTTTTAAATAATGGATAACAACACCAATAAAATCTTAAGTATAGTAATGAAGTTCTGATTTATATCCTAACATTGGAATGTTGTCTCTGAATGTGATTTTAAACAGAAAACCAAAATACATGTGCAGATTTTTCATACTAGCATCTGGGAAAAATCTCATGTATGCAAAAAACAGATGTTGAGGGGCGCCTGGGTGGCTCAGTCGTTAAGCGTCTGTCTTCGGCCCAGGTCATGGTCCCAGGGTCCTGGGATCGAGCCCCACATCAGGCTCTCTGCTCGGCGGTAAGCCTGCTTCTCCCTCTCCCATTCCCCCTGCTTGTGTTCCCTCTCTCACTGTGTCTCTCTGTCAAATAAATAAAATCTTTAAAAAAAAAAAAAAAGATGTTGAGTGGAGGGTGAGATATTTTATCAACAAAATAAAAGATATTAACTTAGCATAATTCCTTTATGTTCAGGTTGGATGACCACCCATCATTTTTGTAGCAACCATGACATGGAAGCAAAAAAAACCCAAAACACCAGTAATATTGCTGTTTATTACGTGTAAAAGAAAAATGTTTTCTACTATATTTTTTCTGACATTTCACTCAGTGTATGGTTGTTTGTTAGAAACTGTAGTAAAAAAAAAAGTCATTTAGCAGTAGACATGGCAAGTAAGCATTCAGATGTTAGAACTGAATACATATCCTTGAGGGCATCATTGGACCCCTCTCCCCGCTCTAGTTTTGTAGCCAAAAGGATGATCCCTCAAGCCTGATGGCTAGTTTGAGCGGTTCACATTAATAATCTATGTGTTTATTTCAATTAGAGTACTTAATAATTGCCAAGGGAAAGACAAATTTTTTGAGTCAAGGAAACAATTTAGTGTCTTATAAATATCCTGGGCACATCAAGGGTAAAAAGTCTTTTCGAGGGCTTAGTATATTTTTGTTTTGTTACACAACAGTGGAACTTCACTAACTTAATCACAGATTCTGCTGAAGGTTATACTGACAACATTTGTGATAAAGCAATTTGCAGAGCAATCTGATGGTGTATTTAAGATTGCAGGGGGATTTTATATTCTGATTTGAGGAGGAGCTGATTTTGTGCATTTGGGAATAACTTTTTAAATACAGTTTACAGGCAATATTTAATCAATTGTAAACCATTCATTAAAGTAGCTCTGGCAGGATCTTTACCTACTACAGTAGGTGACTGTCATGTCAATTTTATGATATTTTAAAAGTCAGCAGCTTAGGTTGACAATCCTTAACAGTTATTCAAATCCATAATTTAGTGCTATGCTTAATATTGTGCAGTTTTTAAATTTGGAAGTTCTGGATTTACCTAATTAAAAAAGAAAGTAGATTAGATTCATGTCTGTTTCTCCTGTTTCTTATTTCCCCCCCAAAATATGTTCATTGTATTATTTCCCTTGTTAGCACTGAATAGCTTTAATTTATTCCTTTTAATCGTTATTATTTCTTTTGGCACTCAGTAACTAAATTGAACTATAAATTATCACGGGAATAGAATTTTTTTAAGCATAGCTATGTCTTGTTTGGTGTTCCTCAAAAATGCTAGAACACATTTTTAGGAGGAACAGCGTATAATGATAGGTGATTTCCTTCAGGAAATTTCACCTTGCCGTTTCACTTTTGAAGTATTGTTGGGAAAAAAAAATTTGTTTCAGCAGTGTCTTTATCATGTGCCTGATTTCAGAATCTTATGCGCAAGCACTGAACATAATGTGTCCCAAAGAGGGATGAGTCCTTGAATGTGGCCATCTAGTTCTCTAACCGGCAGAGTTGATTTCTGACTACATACCCCACCATCCTACAGAAACTAGTGCTTCTGATATCATCAAACCTTGCAGGAAAGAGACCCTAACCCAAGTGCAGCCCTCAATGAAGTCTTCATGGAAAGGAATGTACTATAGAAGAATTTAGGAAGCAAAATACTCAGCATGATTTGTGGTCTTCTTTGTACAACTATGGAGCATGGGAGTTTGGGAAACTAGAGGAAACATATTTTAGATGTTCTTGCTAAAAAATCATCAACTCTGCTGGGCTTTTGGCAGTGAACTGTTTTGGAAACTATTTGCTTCATAGACAAGTTGAAAATTCTAATTTGTTTCCATTAGGGTATATGTCATGGGGCAATTGGGAAGCATGGGAAAATGTGAGCTGTGTATTTTTTCATAGTGACATTAATAGTTTCTCATCTCATTTAATTTTTATACCCTGTGTGTGGTTTTTATTTGTTATTACTATTATTTCTTTTAGTGATAATAATACCCTTTTTAAAAAGTTGTGTGGTGTCATGACAGGGTAAATAGATCTGGGGCTTTGACTCAGGGTAAAAAAAGGTTTTGACCCCAGTGTGTAATCAGCCTGGTGATCTCAGAAGTTATATAAATTCTCTGAGCCTCAGTTTCCTAATTTGAACATGAAATGGAGCTAGGAAAACTATTAAATGAAGAAATGAACACTAAGCAGCTAACATAGTCCTTGGCAAATGTGGGTTCAATAAATGTTAGTTCTTTTCCTTTTATCATCTGTTCTTAAATGAAAAGTGAGTCAAGATAAATTATTTTTTTAAAGATTTATTTATTTACTTGAGAGAGAGAGAGCGTGCATGTGAGCAGGGGGAGGGGCGGAGGGAGAGGGAAAGAGAGACTCTCAAGCAAACTCCCTGCTGAGCACAGAGCCTGATGTGGGGCTCCATCCCACAACCCTGAGACCATGACCTGAGCTGAAATCAAGAATCCGACACTCAACCGACTGAGCTACCCAAATATCCATAAAATAAATTATTTTAAATTCAAGAATTTCACATTTTTAAAAACTGGAATTCATGCCAGTGAATCACTGAGTTAAGCAGGTCATTGTCTCCCTTAGGGGCATAGGCTATTTGTCATAGTATGATATTTATAAGCCCTTGTTCACATACAGTGAATATATGCAGGCCAGCTATTATCATAAACTCTAAGGAAACCTCCGAATGCATTTATTGTCCTGAAATTTTATTGTGTAGACTTTTGCTTGAAATAAGTAGGCCATTAACTGGGGTTAAGAAATATCAATGCTGAGCAGAGATTTTTGTTTTCAGGGTATTCTTATTTATAAATGATTGGAACTCTCTTCTAAAAACCTCTCCAATGGCTGGCCAGGAATAACTCTGAATCCTGCAGGATGGGAAGCAGTGGAATCTCAGGGCATCCAGAGCATTTTGCTGTGCTTCTGGCCTGGGTGATGAAGGTCCCTTGATCTGTTCGGTGCTAGGCCATCATTGGCCTAGAAAGCAGCTGTCCATGGTATTTAACTTCTTCTTAGATTTGGCATTATAATCTGACAGCAAGTCAGCCCAGTTCTAATGAAGAAATGGTCTAAATAAAGAGGCTTAAGGCTGGATCGTTGAAGAGTAAGCTAGTTAGTAATTTAGGTGTGCTTTGCTTTATTCAGTTTGTATGTTCCTGAAAAGTTTTTTGTAAATAGAGTTTTTGTGGTTCAAATTGTTATTAATGTTCATGAGAAAAACAAAATTAAAACAATACTATAAATATTCCTCACAAGGTGAAGTCGTTCTTATAAGGTGCTAAACCATCAATAATTTTATCAATACAAATGTGTAGGTCCAAGCTTGCTTATGGCATAGAAGATACTATATATTCAACTTTTGTTTCCCCTCCTAATAAATAAATGAGTAAAATGAATGTACAAACTTCAAGGAAGGTAAAGTAAGATCATCCTTCTAATAAATAAAAGGATAGGATTACTTCGTAGACTTGGAAACTCTCTGTCCTCACAAGAAAGAAAATTTAGGCATTAAAATTCTTAACTGACTAGATGTCTGTGAATGTAGTATGTTTATCTAGGGATACAGAATGGTGCTCTTTTCCTTGCTTTGTTTCCTTCTACTTATATTAAAAGCAAACCATTTGGTTACTGCATGTGATTCAGAGACTGAACAGGCATTTCAACAGACCCAGAAAGCCCAGCAGATTTTAATAGACAGAAGTCAGATTAGCTGTGGCTTTTCATCCTTGCTTCTCTGATTTCTCCAGCAAGAGAGGACCTAAACTTTGTGAATCCTCAGAAACCTGAGGGTCAGGAAACATAAGTGATTGCCTCAAGTCCCAATTGAGTGGTGTTAAACTGCATTTGAACTTAGGTCTGACTCCTAAATGTCTGCTCCTTCTCCTGGTGCTTCTCACTGGACAGTTGGGGATAAACACAAAGCAAACCTCCAAATTAGATTCACATTACATATTAGGCTTCGT